TTTCATAAAGCAATGATCATTTTTAACGTCTATGACATGTACTTAAGGCTCCATTGCAGCTCGCGTGAGAGAGCTAAAAGTTTGGCTGTTTTTCAAGTTTCGAGGTCCTGAAGGGATTGGCTCTTCCAGCAGAGAATCTGCAACCGTGACTGGGTTCTTTGCTAATATGATGTCGGTTTATTTTTTTATTATTTCTAATCTTTGAACTGAATTACGTTTATTTTTTGTGTATAGAAACTACTGTAAGTTGGAAGTGGTCACAGACCTGTCTTTAACTTTACGCCAGGATAATCGGTAGTCCAGCAGGCACGGACGGAACACGATAAGAACACAAGTTCAGAGACGAAGTGCAAGCTACGTGGAAGACACATTACAAAGCCCAAGTCCCTCCCTCTGTCTACCCTATATCGTATAACCTGTACGTAGGACGTCACGTTTCTATCGTTTTACCACACAACAGTACAATGTTGCTAGCTTTGCTGCGCTGCTGATACTGAGCTGTCTTCACTCTTCGCCTGGGCTCCGCTGTTCGTGTTGCAGGGTACGACGTTGCTGTGACCTTGAATCATTCAAATTTGTGACAACTACTACACACCCATCAGCCTATACCTACGCCTACATCCGTCCATCTGCCCGCAGCCTATCTTTCGTTCTTTCGTCTGCAAAACCTATACCTATGCCTACATCCGTCCATCTGCCCGCTGCCTATCTTTCGTTCTTTCGTCTGCAAACAGCGAAATTAAATCCAAGATTGCGAACACAGTCTATATGTTTGGTTCTTTACAGGTAGTGGGTTTAATGAAATATTGCGTTTCCTGTGCATGCGTTTTCTCTAATGCAAAACTAGTAGATTTTTTAAAGAAGTGATCAGGTTGCGGCACTTGAATTGATTACTAATACTTGCGAGATTTGTGTACAAATAATGTTTACTTTAATTATTTGCGATGGTTTCAAGATATTCATGCAGAATACTGTCACTCTGCTATGCATTATTTCAAGGTACTGGATAAGCCTAATTTAATTTACCAGAAAGTTAGACATAGGCCTATTACTTATGAAAAATTTAATCCGGCAAAATTGTTATTTTTCGGATAATGAAACAATTTATTATTTTTAAATTAATTTGTGATTATTTTCCCTTCCCCTGCAAAAAAATACGTAAAAATCTCAATCATTGGTAAACAATCACAATGTCAAACGCAACAATTCAACCAAGGCCAAGATATCAAGAAATATATAAAACTTGAGATCTTAAGTCGTAAATAGTTTTTGAGTTTGGGGACGTTCGTGAATCGTAGGTAAAAGCAATTTAATTTGGATAATCTGATGTACAAGTCATGAAAACAAAAAGACATACAGTAGGCAATACAAATATGCGCAACCAATTTAATGAAGTCTGACATGCAGAAAACTAGAAGCACAGTTTGCTGGCATTCGTTGTAGAGCTAAATTAAAAAAGTTCTAAACAAACGCTATATTGTGTAGAGTCTGAAAAACAAAGGCTAGAACTGACCTTTTCACAAAGTGAGCGCCAGTTGTGAGAGCTAGCTACAATCATATACTTTCACCCCCATCTTCTTACTAAGGAAAACAATAACATTTGTTCCACCGAGTGTACATTTCATTACATTAAGAAATTAAGACCTATTCTTGCTGAGTTATGATCAGTCTTTCAGCCTGAAATTAAGAAGATATGAACTTAATTACATCTTAGGAGACCGCTCACTTCATGAAAATGACCGGATGGTCCTCTCCTGGGGGCACTGCACCACTTTAATTCATCTGTTGACGAGAAGAATTAAAGTGTATCGCGGCGTATCAGAGTCATAAACACGTGGCGTCTTGTTACGTCATATCCCACACATAAAAACTCATTACCGGTTAGGAAATCCTTTCACTTTCATTATATGAGAAAGAAGTGCGCTCTGAGTACAGTACCAAACGAGAAAATTGGATGGGTGCACGAAGTATAATTCTCCGTGCCCGAGAATTATTAGAGGTTCCTAAAATCAAATGGAAATTTTTGTATCGAAATCGTATAAAGTCTAATCTATGCAATAAGCAAGTATTGGCTGGTTTGTGATCAATTACTACTATGGGATTTTGGGTCTTATGGGATAATATATATGAATATATATGTTGTTATAAACGTTACATTGGTAATACAAGTCACTGTTAATTTCACAGAACTTCAGTTAATATTACTACAGTAATTTTCACAGGGCCTGAGCAACGGAACAATGTAACTTTCAGCAAAAACGCAATTTAAACTCTGCAGGCCTACGCATACACAATTTGTGTTTGTTTCATTAAAATACTTTTTCCGATTGTTAGTTAATTTTAATAAAACCAGAATTTAGTGACATCGTTAATTTCACTCACAGCTCATGAAGGGTTTGGAAGTAGGCTTGCATTATTAATTAGCTAATTCAACTGAATTGTAGATCAACAATGGTGGAGGAACGGATGCCATCTGCATGGGAAAATCGATTTGTACCTAAAATAATATACATCAGAAACAAATGAACATCAAGACAAATGAGGTAGGCGCATGAAAAATCGAAGAGAAAGTAAATTCACATTATGCATTGCAAATTGTTTGTGACAACTGGTGAAACATGTTCGTTATTGTCAAAACCTCAATTGACTTCCATAATTAATTTTGTTCATCGTTCATCCAGGTTTTAAGTTGCTCCGCGCTATTCGGCCATTAGCTGAATTCCCACAATTCTTTATAAGGCTTGTTTTATTAATAAAGGAACACATCCAATGAAAGTCACAAGCTCGCAATAAACTCATTTATTTATTTAAATATTTGTAATAAATCTAACGACACTTTCAGTAGCTCAGAATACGCAGCGCGAATGAAATGATAGCGGAAAATTTTCGTGTTCATTGGGTCCATGTTCTAACCCCTGGTTTGGTTTAACGTCCATTTTAAAGCTTCGCATCAAAGTAATTTCGATGTGTACCAAGACCGCTCGCTCACGAGTGACTGACAGTTCAAACATTTCTCCGAACACAGTAAGTTTCACGAAAGAAACACAGTTTATAATTTCTCCCATTCATGCGTAACAGCTTTGTTTTCTTCAAGTCCACTAACTTTTGAAGTGGAGGGTTCTTTGTTACACTTTGCTCATCCCTTAAATGTCCATTTCTCCTCTGCAGTCATGTTTGCATCTCCCGCTTGTTCCATAGACTGACTGTCTAGCCTGTAACTAAATAATCAAAAGCAACGCTGTCTTGTCTTCGCTGGTATTATCACCAATTATTGTCATTTTCATGTTGGTACGCCGCGAAGGGGCAAGGGACGTCAGTCATTTCGTAAACTAAAGGGCCAGTTAGACAGATCTCCATCAAGTGTACACCCCCCCCCCTTATGTCCAGAGTGATAGCGGACAGGAAAATGAGAGACTAATTATTGCAATACAGAATCCACGGCCCTTTCACTCCTAGTTCACCCGGAACAAAATTGGCCACAGTAATTGTTTTCAACTTTTCAGTTAAACTGGTTAAACTCTAGAATATGTGCTACTCTATACAGTAGGATAATTATTAGCCTATATCGTGATCCGACACGTAAATACGATAAAAATATACAGGAAACGGGATGTCAAAACAATAAGGACTAATTGAATGAAATTTGACAACCAGAAGGCGTATGGACTGACTGCCATCGCTGCTTCCCCTCCCCTTTTTTCCTCGTTTGATGGCGTAAGAATTCAATGTTATACACGTCAAAACGATATCAAACAAGTTCACTGGTCTCTGACAACGAATTTCAAACAGTGTAAGTCATGTATTATTGATATTGTGTATGGCGTCGTTTGTATATTTGACTTCTGAAGGGTCAGAACTAATGCTGCATCTTTGCCGTCCTTGCAAATTGCATGACTATGGATTACGAACACAGAGCGGTTTTTCATTCGCCCTATGCCACTTCCTGTTGCAGTCTTGTTTAAAACGTGTTCCTGCTTCAGGCTCACAGTCTGATCAGGATTGCAAGTTCATACCAGAGCCACAAATTCTAAAAATTTCGGCCGATTATTTGCTCTCTTTCTCTAATTGCACTACGTGTACTAAATGAACGCTTGCAGGGCTGGCCGTGTCAGTCTGCACGATTAAACTCGAGAACAGTTTGACAAATCTTGACAAAATTTCGTATCGACGTTATGTCATTGTAGTCTACATTGAAATCATACTTTTACTATCAACATGGCAGACGCACGAACTTGTGAGGTGAAAGCGCCTCTTCATACGAGAGTGCTGAACGTGGATTGATGTTAAAAGAAGTATGTGGTACATTATAGTAATTTTTCTGCAATTTAAAGCCTCTAGAATGTTATTGCGTGTGTGTTCTGGGGGGGGGGGGGGACTCGGTAATGACGCTACAGGGTACACTGCTGGATTTTAGAAGTACTACTACTATTAGGTAACTACCAGAAGTACTTTCAAGTGAGATAAAGTTACGAAAGGAGAACGGAAAGGAAGAAGGGAGGTAAACGATGACGAAACGAAATATATCATTCCCCGCATGAATTTCAACGGGTATTCTATACTAGTATCAAATATACTTCAGACAATGTCCAACATAATAGTCACGAATCATTTAGTATAGTACGCCTAGTCATAAGCCGTGTAGCAGAAGCTTAAAACGGTAAAACACGTGTCGTATGACGATTCGATAAACCAGAATGCCAGTTTAAGAGGAAATTACATTTTATTAAAACACCTGTAGCCGTCATGGTTCTACCAGCTCTCAGTTAAAATTATGTTATTGGCAAATTCATTAAACCATCTTCAATTCTGCCTTTGTGTGATATCATGTATAGTCCATATATTTTTAATGGTCTATTACTGGTGAATAGAGGATTGTACCTTTTATCATAAACGAACATAATGCTTTAGATCCTTCTGAGCTATTGCAGTATTTCTGCTTTGTCACAATTTATTGCAGAAGCAGGTAGTGGCCTCTACACATTCTGTTCTGTGCGTTACAGCCCTGGACAAGTTGGGGTTCCGGCACTTGTTCGGGCAGAGTCCTGTGGAGCCTGTACAGCCGAACGTGGCATTCGACATCGCTAGTCTAGTTCTGTACGGCTGCCAAGCGCTACCGATCCGGCTCAAGATTCTTCTGGACAGGCTTTTCTCTGTCCTTCAGCGCGAAGAGGTCCTTCAGGTTCTGCACGGTTTTGGCTGGACGCACGAGGATTATGCTCGGGGTTACATTCTTCAGGTAAGACTTGGTGCAAACGCACTGTATAATATCTAGTCGAAAGAAACAAAGTTCCTCCTGTATCTTTCATTTTTGTACTGCGTTTAGTGCTGATACTAAAACCGAAACAAGTAAACACTCAACACATCTTATATGAACTGGTAATGTGAAAATTCGGTAACAAGTTTCTTATAAGTATTAACCGTCCGGAGATAACCAAAGTAGTTCGAAATATGTAGCATTTTTTATTATATAGATATGTCAAGTTGTATTAACGGTTCACACAATTCCAAGTACAGTTTCTTTACCAAGAATATATGAGTGATTTATGATGCGCTGAGTAGCAGAACATGTGCCTAATGTGATATCATTGGAGGTCTTAATACGGGACGTGATTTGAATATACAAAATATACTATTGCAATAAGCCTATATTACAATTACAGTGTCCTGCTGTGGTCTAATTATTATCTAGATTTTTTTTATTTCATCTGGGCATTTAACGCCGCTGAACTAACCCTGACGTTGCCTCTGTTCTTAAAACACCGAGTCATGAAAGAGTATAAGGGATTATGGGGACAAAGCTTCCTTCTAGGAGACGTTATATACCCTGGCACATAATGAACAAGAACTGGGTTAGACCACCGAGCTGATCTGTACATTACAATGAAACAAAATTTCTTCCTCAGCTGGGGATCGATCTCCAATAAACCAACCCCCCCACCTGACCTACGTGGTTGAAAGATCCCAGCTCGTATTTGTTCGTTATAATGAACTATTTTTTAGACAATAACTCATAAGTGTTGTGGTTTGCGGCAGAAATTACCTTTCTATACTCTCAAATCCTTAAAATACAATTTCTCTCCACGTGTCACAAATACACTCGTTTCGTCTTTGATTTCTGTCCATAGTCAGGTCACATTCGGGAACGTGAGAACTCTTTATTACTCAAGAGAAAAACTTGCCGGTGCTGAACCACGCTTACTCTGTCTGTGGCTAAAAACTGATGCACTCTGGTTGAGTAAGCATTTTGCACAGTCAAAGCCTTACATTTGTGACAAGGTTCGTATGCTCCACCCACAAAGTCCATCCGCAGACCCTGCTAGAGGCTTAGCAATGAAAGTCACCCTTAAGAAAACACAACTTTTTATGGGCTGCAGTTGACCGACCACAGCTAAGTTCTGCCATTGTCTGTCCTCATAGTTGTGTCAAAACTGAAACAAGGAAGATTCAGAGACGTGCAGCGTTGAAAACTGGATGAATGATAGACCTTATTTTTAGTAATGAAGTGAAAACTGCTAGGGAGTACATTTTGGGTGCATTAGTCGCCTTTTTATAGAAACCCAAGGGTTCAAAATGAAGTTTGCCATAACCTTACATGAGATGGGTGTGTGAAAAGGAAGTCGACAAGACACTCTCCGTTAGTTTGGTCATAAAAGTCCATTTCTTCATAAACGATAAGAAGAGGCTGGGGTTATGAGTAACCGAGACGACATTTTGATCGCTGTCATCAGCGTTGTGTTGAGCTTCACGGCCTACCTGCCCCACATCGCCGTTCAGAGGTCATACGAACAAGAAGGTCGGATACATCTTGCTTTTCCCAGCCGAACATGGAAGAAATATTCATAATGATAGTGTGGTTTTGTTTCTTAGAAACTTGGTCTTTCGAAACGCGTTCGTCATTTGAATTATTTTTAACAGCAGATACCGTGAGCAACGCGAGAAGCTGAAAAGCAAGACTGAACATCGAATTGTTACTTCTCCTCCATCTGTGTTTCTGAGAACTACCGACAGCTGACATTACAATGAGCCGAAGTCATGTCGGCAGGTTCGTAATTGCTGCCTTTGTTGCAGAATTGCGATTCAACACCGTTCACTGGCACGTTTGATCTATTGAAAATTAATAGCTTATAGGCTTGCCTTTTCAGTTTCGAAGAAGACTTGCCGTGTAACAAAATCTTTTGCAGTCTTAAGTAACAACTGATATGTGTATGGGAACAACAAGTTTATTTTTTCTTTTTATTTCATTTTTGATGTCTAGAAGCGTTGTATATTAATAAGTTCTATATTTAGTTAAATTCATAATAAAACGTCTTGTAACCATGCTGATAAGGATGAAAGGAATGTCAGCCATCAAAACCCCGGTCTCTTACAGAAAACAGAAAAGAATGGTTTAATTGAAAGATGGAAAGGAATCCAAAAATTAGACACAATCTTAAACTTTAAAACACATTAATTTTGACTCTGTTTCCACCCCTATAACTGGCGAGGTAATGATATTTCCTCACTTTATCATTACTAAAATATCGCGTTATTAAATTACTCAGAAAATGTCACTCTAGCCGGAATGTAGTACAGAGGGCTAAAGTCTTGTAAAGAAAACGAGATGATATGGATGTTTCGAAATGATAGTAACAAATCAAAAGTGCATTAATGAAGGAATGAAGTGCAGATCAAATTTGGGGAATGTTTACTCTATTATATTTAGAATATTTATTTATTTCTGTTTGTCTCGAAATGTAAATATTAAAACACAAAATGCTACAGTTTTGCCCTTTGATTTATACGGTGTGAAACATGGTTTCTAACACCAATGCAAGAAGGCAGATCGAAGACATCGGCGAACAAAGAGCTAAGAAGAATATTTAGACTTTATGAGATGAAGTAACAAGAATGCGGAAATTTCTTACAAAGACCGTTTGTAAACCCGAAGAGACGAGGTTGTGACAAGGTACTTGGTTTTAACTGGCTCAGAATAATGTCAAACTGGTTTTGATACTCAATATTCCGGTTATGATGGTGATATAATCAGGTTCTGACGAAGATGACTGTCTTCTAGAATGTTGCGCAGTTTAGGATCGTAGAAGTTTACCATCGTTTCAGAGACGCATCATCAGGGCCATTGCGCTGAGGATGACGAAATGCGCCTGCTCGGGAACTACCTGTCCAGTATTAACCCTCTTTACACCCTACTGTGAAAGAACTGCGTGAAATTCAGGTGTTATGTGGCTGACCTTCAGCAAGGGCGGTGGTCCAGAACTCGATCTATGCCTGGAGGTGTAAATAACATTGTGCTATGGCTTCTGCTTTATATTCGGAATATCCAGATTTGAATTTCGACATGTAAATCTGCTATCCTCGTAAATTATTTGTGGTTTTCTGCAGTTTTCGCAAACCAGATACTGGGATAATAAAAATAGGTCACGACATGCATACAAAATGTTAGATGGAAATCGCGACCTGACTCAGGATAGGGACCAGTGGCGGGCCCTTGTGAACACGGAAAGAACTTCCAATCTTCATACACATTAGGCGATTTACTTGACTTGCTGAGAGACTATTAGCTTTTCAAGAACGACTTTGCTCCATGGAGAGATTTCTTTGTGAGTCATATAAAATTATAGACTTTTGTTCCATTCACCATACTTTCGCTTGACGTAATTTACATTACAAGAACTCATTCTGTTCTGCTTACAGTGGCAACAGTTGGTTTACAGTAATAATGCTACTTTACTTGCAAAAGACTGACAGCCAATAAGTGTACAGGAAGTGCCAATACACCAGTATTCTGTGATGTCATGATTGGTTTAGTTATAAGACACAATACACAGAGACGGGAAGGGTAGTTCATCCCCTTGTTTGAAGAAGAGGAAAACAAAGAAGCGAAACAAACCCTGAGCGGCAGCAATAACATCATACAACCCCCGGGTGGTAGTCTGTCCGCAGTGGAACAGGATCCGTCGAGCTGTGCTTGTGGTAATGGGTTGAGTGACTGGGAAATACATAACAAGGCTGCTGTCTCTGCAAGCTCTTGGTTCCAACCCTACCCCACGGCACCCGCTTTCCGATACCCATGAGACTTTATCGGACGGACGGACGGTTCGTCAGCGGCCACCGCCGTCCCGTCTAATTGAATCAGCCATTAAGGGATTCGTTCGACCCGCGAGGTCTGAACGGGTAAAACATCAGTTGCGTTACTGGTGTTGGATTCCTACCGTCCATCTCTGTCTTTTTTTCGAGCCAGTTCGCTACCCCAGTGTGGTACTGTATGTTACATTTTAGTCTCTCAGTGATTAAATCTGAATAACGTAAGAGGAAGACTGAAATTTGCGGTTTAGCAATCCTTCGTATTTCGGTGGTCTCAAGTTCGATTCCTGGCACTCAGATCTGAATTTATTCTTTCGTTGTATTTACGTCAGAAGTGACGTTTCAGCAAACACGATTTTGTGTAGTCATATAACAATATGACATGCTCAACATATGTGCTGCATTTGTAGAATTAATCGAAGAAGAACAATGCCGTGTGTTTCATTTTGGTGGTATTTAAAAACTAGTGATATTTAGGTTAGAATAACAACTCAGTATTGCGAGCCAAAGGAAAGTTTACGAATGGGTGGGACGGAAAGTTGCGGCCTAGTGATTAGTACGCCTGTTTAGTATTCGGAGTCTCTGTTTCGAATCTCATTCAGAAAACCGACTATACTAACCGAGGTTTTTCTTGCCTTTACTCAGTGCCTGCAACCAAATTCTGGGTTAGTCCTTAAATTATGCCACGACCACTTCCACACCTGTTCCAACTACAGCAATTACTCCTTTTTATTATCTATAGATCGACGCTTTCGGCTAGTGACAGCGTTGTTATACCAAACAAATCGGTGGAATGATTTCCGGGAAGGCAGACAAGCGTTGAAGTTAAGAAGCAGACCTATAAGTGTATCCGAAATAAAAGAAGAATTAATTGGCAATGACGAGATTATGTTTGAATGAACATTACGAGTGGGAAACAGCGGTGCAAGGATACTGAGACACAAAAGAAAACACTTTATTTTGATAGAATCAAGAAACTTGTGGATTTCTGGGACCGAATGACAAAGAAATTAATTAGATAAGCCCAGCTACTGTTCTACTATTCTGTCAAAACTTATAGACCTACTTGAATTTTTATTACCTTCGTACAAATCTAGTGCATATGAAGACCTACTTTCAGCGTGGACATGCCACTTGACCGAAGGTTCAAGACGAAGACGAGGTAATTACACGCCAACAGCAGTGGACACTATTCTCTTTGTACTGAGAAGAACGGAGAAACCGGTGTGGGAATTCGCTGCCTCGCCGTCTAACAAGTCATTATAGCAGATCTGTATCTGTTCCCGTATTTTCGGGTCATCCATTAATGTCACGCTTCAGGGTGTGTGTGGGTTTCTTACAGAACGTGACGTGGTGTGAAGGGGAAGATACTGAGTGCATTACAGCCCGCACCAAGTCCGTTACACTGTCATATGCAGTACAAAGCAACGTAACTGTATAGGACCCTGCCCTCTCGCATTCGCCAGACCATTTCCACCTTGCAAAATTAAAATACACGTACTCTCCGCATCAGTTAACTTGACAACGGGACAGCAAAACAGATATTCACTGACCAAATAACATTCTTCCGCGGCGGTATTCGCTCCACTGTTACACCAAGCGAACACTGTTCGTAACGTACGTATAACGGATCTGAGACATGTATGTACGAGCGCACTTTTTCAGTTTTTTATCGTGCTAACTTACATGTTGTTCAGAAACGTGAGGCAGAAACTTAAAAAATCTGATTTACTTCTAAAGCGGTCAGTAAAAATCTGTCTCTGAATTCGTCAGGCGAAGAGGCATTTCCAAACTTACTTGTGGCATTCCTTAAAACGTTATTTAAAAAAAAATATCAAGAAATTATTATAGCAAAGGGTGGAATGCAAAGTACCTTTAGTTCAGGGATGTATTTAACAAAATAAAACAATTTTTGCATAATGTTTATATTAAAATAATCAAAAGTTTCCGCAGCAGCTATAATTTACCGCAGCCGTTGGTAACATTTGGGGCAGGCACGCCAGACCCGAGGAACTGCATTTATTACCGCCATAATTATTAATAAGAGCAGAATGTATCTGACCCCACCCTTAGAGAAAAGACACCCTTTCTATTTAAAACAAAACGGAAAAGTAACTGTATTATGTATCACTTATTCCACTGTGATATTATTTCCACAGAAATGAAGTCAAAATGTAGAAATAGGTCTGGAGGTATATAATTTTATGTAGTACGGTCACCTGCTTGGTTGCTACTGGCAGATTTAACAACAACAACTGTCTGTTGTAGAAACTATCATTTTAAAACACTCCCAAGTGTGTGTCTCTAACTGCACAGTAGCTCAGAATTATTGGGGCCATCAACTCTATTACAGACGATTCAACTTTTTCTTCCATTTAAATAATAAGCTAACTTCTATAACCACATGTGTTCGTACAAAATTTCGGTATCGAAAAAGGATCGACAAAAAATACGTATTTCAATGATCGCATTGGTTCTGGTATGTGTAAATGTTCTCTTTGCATCCTTTTACGGTCTGAGTTGTAATAATCAGGTGTAGTGCATGGGGTCTTCGGTAGCCTAAATGGCATGTTTTCATCCGACCTGCACAATAACCATAATCAACCAATGACCCCCACTATCACTGTAAGATCCTTTTCATACTCCTTTTTTTATAGTTTCATGTTCATCTTTCGTTTTTCGCTTTTTTGTTCTGTTATTTAATTCTCCGATTTCCCACGGCGATGCCCGTAGAATGCCAGCCAAGCTGCAACCCTGCACGCTTGCTCCAGCGATCCGCCCACCCTCTGCTGCCTGGTTGCATCAACCAACCTTATAATTTTCTCTCAATCCTATTTAACAGTCGGGTTCAGCAAAGAATTTAATCAGCTATTATTTAAGAGATGTTTTTTAAACCTTTCTTCCCAACACAGGTTTTTTCTTTATAATTTCTTTTGTCTCTCAGTTTTCAAAACTATTGATCCTTGTTCAAATCCGATGTCTCTCTTTCAGGACGTAATATCGCTACTCGGGAATAGTAAAAATGCAATTATTTTAGTGCCAAATAACGTTGTTTATAAAAGAAAGATATTAACTGTTTTGCAAAATAAATGTAACTTCTGATAACTGTAATGTGAAAATCCTGCAATCTGTGTATGAGCTTGGTGTTTGGATACATCGTGACTGTAAACAAATTTAAACTGCTTATAACATTCTATTTTCCAATGCGCATTTGGTAAAGGAATGGGACGCCTGCCAACATCTGAACATCTGAACATCTGAACATTTCTAAAATTTCTGTATCGCCACGAAAGGGGTACTGCGCAAGACAATCGACTTACTGGCAACTAGATAAAACACTGTAGACCCTTGGAAGACTAACTGCAATGTCGCTTCACCGATTCTTCTGTATCTGGCTTACTGTATTAACTAAAATGCAAGAGCAGCTTCTCGCAAATCGCCCTCCTTTCTTGTAGTTTGGACTGCCGGCTGTCCGGCCACCTTCGTTGTAAATCGAGATATGGCTCCGACCCTTGCGAATGTCGTGAGGCAAAGGGACCCAGAACGCTGTATTTATTACCTGTCGTCCGCTGCAGGCTTCAACATAATGTTAGGCATGATGAATGGGAATGATTTCAGGAAAGATTTTCTACATAGATTCGTATAGTGATTTGTCACGCCTACTACTGAAATCATTATAAAGCCCCACTTACATACAAACAGAAAGCCTCTCCAATTCCGTTTTTTTCTTTAAGATCACAGACTTGTGTGTCTCTTTTGGACGAAGTCAGTTATCCAATTGGACGCCTATGACTATAATAATCAGCGCCTTCCTCTATAATCCATCGTAAAGTATGAGCACAAAGGACCGAAGATGTTTAAATCTACTACAAACTCAGTGAAAAATAATGCCGAGGACACCCCGGCAATTTACATAACATTATAGCGATGGTACAGCCAGCCATCTTTGCCTGTTTTAGATTTGGGGCCACCTATTCGTCCCTACAAAGTTGTTCAGGATTTGAAATGCTGCGAATTTTATTTCGTCAAATGTTGTAAGTGGGTGGAAGACGCCACTAGAAGTTGACAGTTTAGGTTCTGATGACGATGAGTATGAAGGTTCATGTCTTCTGGGATATTGCACCGTGCAGTCTGATAGAATCTACTGCAGTAACCCTGGTTCTTAAGGAGGAAACGGTACAAAACGGATAAAGGAAATGAAGACGTGAAGATTCGAAAGAAATCATTCCCCATTGTGTTTTAATCGGCCGTTCATTACGATCACCAGAAATATGCATTTATTGAGACTTCAGGTTTTCACGGCGGTAAGTATGAGAATGTCTTCTGAGATCCTGCTCCACGCAGTCTCGTAAAAATTGGCCAAAGATTTTTATGTGCCTACTGCCTTCATCATCAGGGTCACAATATTGCCGCGAATATAGTACAACGATTGGCCCTTTTAAGGTGAAATAACAGGACCATTTTCGATTCAAAACTTCGCATAGGAAGGCGCATTTTGTTATGTCCAAGTAACAAAGGAGTTCCAAGAAGCGTGGGAATACGAATCAACGCAGTGTACCCCTCCTTGTTCTGAGATACAAGGTAGTTTTGTGGTGTATCGAACAGTCAAGTCATATAGCACGTACTGCTGTGGTTGAACCAGGAAGCAATAACATAAGCTAAGCATTCTATATAAATGTACAGAGTCTTCAAAAATGCTTTGACTACTCATATTTTAATTTTTTAAATAACTTCAAGGTCTGTTATGGACATATAGATCACTTACACCAGACAATCTATAAAATTAATGGAACTGACTATGCTTTTGCTTAGATGCCATGATTGCTTACATAAAACCTATGCTAAATATGCCAGTTCTTTCGTAAATAATTTGGTAAGATAATCTAGCCTCTTCATAACTGAGCGGCAGGTCTTGTAGTTCTCATGCTTGCCAAATTTTTCCTTCATTAAGTCTCCCAGCCCGTTATAGCGCCGTGAAGTCTGATAGAAGTTTACCGACGTTTCAGAGGGCCTTGTTGCCCCGATGAATTCACGCGTTCGACAGTTAAGTGTTCGAATTTGTTTTCGCCTGTGTACGCAAATATAAGTTGTTAAACGCGCTGCATAAGACTTTATTGCATTTCGTTCCTATTACAGTATGCACATGTCATAAAGGTTTCTGAGCTAATAAATCGAGAACCGTTGTTATTATTTTGATTACATTTTTATTGAGGGTCCTTGTTCGTTCGTCCCGGGCCGTTCCATATTTGTAAAAGTGCATAAAAATTTATAATTCTCTGACGTAATAATGTTCACTCAGTTATGCGACATGAGTTTGGCGAATGGGATGAATGTGGTATACTGCTCACGTTACTACCCTCCGTATGGACATTACTTCCTGGTAATACACATGATGACAGAACATGACAAAATACGAGCAGTTATTCACTGTTACCGAGCAGCCAATCAGACGTAACACTGAACGAGAGTTTGTCTGTGTTCTAGGAACCCCATGGAAGCGTGCTTGATCGGTGGAATATCTGTAGCCCAGAGGAGGAGCCCCTAGTCCTGCAGCAGTTCCTAAGGTTTGGCGAGACACGCGCAATCACTCAGCAGCTGCTGCTGGCACAACAGGACATAAAGCCGCCCCCGTCTACGTCGTGTTCGTCCTCCAGTGACAGCCGAAGTCTAGCGCCAGGCTCACATCTACACCAGCTGAGAATAGACTCTGACATCAAGAAGTTCATAGAAAGGACAAGCAGCCGCGTTGCACCCAGCAAACACCAGGACGGAGACGAGAGGGACAGAGATCGAGAACGCGAGAAAGATCGAGACAAAGAAAGAGAGAGGTCGTCCAAGACACTTCAGCACCTTGCGTTGCCGAGCCTGCAACAACACCCTCACAGAACTCACAAGCAGCGGACGTTATCGCCTAACAGAAGACCATCCCCGCCGACAACTGTAGCACACCATCATCACACATCACATCATCCCCACCCCCTTCACCTTGGCCTTCACCATCCCACGTCGCATCCAACCCATACAACTCTCCCATCATCTCGGCCACCTCCACCACCACCCATGTCACCACTTCAGAAACAAGCTCCTATCAATCTGTTGAAACTGCCCCCCGGAGCACTCCCAGCCACAAACGGGCCATGCAAAACTTCCTCACCTCCTAGTAGCATCAGTAGCAGTCCTCTCAGCGTATCACCGCTCAACCGCCTGCAGAGTATGCAACCCTTCGATTTTCGGAAGATCGGTGGTTTCCCTGGGGGAATAAGTGGTGTCCCGCGAGGTGGAAGCGGAAGTCCAGAAATTCAACACCCGCAGGTGCGGAGAAGAATATCGGAAACGTCGGACACCAGTCCACCGGGTCTAATGAATCTGAGCATTACCAGTCCCTCCTCCCTTTGTTTACCACCACCTCCACCTCCTCCTCCGCCAATACCGGCGAGTTCTGCGCCTCCCATCAGTTTCTGCCACTCTGCAATGGCAGCAGCAGTTGCTTCAGCAGGTCCTCTGGCGGCAGCCAGTTTAGTAGCTTCATCATTGCCCGGCCTCATTTCGTCTGTCACGACGCCAGGTAGCAAGTCTCCTTCAGCTATGGTAACCGACTTCATGAGTGGAGGAGGAAGCAGCGAATTTGGATCTGACGAAGATGACGACGACGAAGAAAACTCGCACAGCGCACTTAATTTGAGCAGAGATGGTGCTTGTATAAAGCCTAGGCAGCGCCACGGTCATATCCGAAAAGCTACGACACCTATGAAAAGACAGTGGGGGTCTGGGACGGAGTTGCCTCTGAATCTGGGGACACAGCTCATTAACCCCACAACAGGGAAAAAGCGAGTGCAGTGCAATGTGTGTCTCAAGACGTTCTGCGATAAAGGCGCGTTGAAGATACACTTCTCAGCCGTGCATCTCCGCGAGATGCATAAGTGCACTGTGGAGGGCTGCAACATGATGTTTAGCTCGCGTCGATCTCGCAATCGACACAGTGCCAACCCCAATCCTAAACTCCATTCTCCCCACCTTCGTCGTAAGATTTCTCCTCACGACGGTCGCAGTGCCCAGTCTCACCCCATACTTATCCCCCCACCTTCAGGACTATCCCTCTCTGCTGCTGCAGCTGCAGCACTCAACCCCTTATCGTTCAGTCCGTTTCCTCTCCTAACACCACCTCCTGAACTTCGACACCAAACTGCTCATTCGGCCCTTTCATCACTTGACCCCAAGCAGAGCCTCGACCTCAGCATGCACAGGTATGACGAACACCGCAAGATGGACATCTGTAACAATACGACATCATCCGACGAGGCACCAATGGCTATGAATTTAAACAATCACCACACTGATGACGATAATGATGACGCTTATGACGACGATGAAGATGGCATCGTGGTTGATGGCGGTGCGGATGACGATGAACCGGAAGGGAATGAAGAGAGGGGAGAAAATGGCAGCCCGGAGAAGGATGACGAATGTGGGACTCTGGTAAAACGAGTAAAATTATCTGAATCTGATTTGGACGAAATTACTAGTAATTTGGACAGCAATGAAGACTCTCTCAGTGTTGTTGATACTCACAGCCTAAAGGAGGAAAACGGGACCGAATGTGCTGTTTTCACTTCCAAAAACGTTAGAAAACGAAAGAACCAAAATCCTACTCGTTGCGCTATACCATCCATTTTGGGACATAATGATCTCCTGTCAGATGAAGATTCGTCAAGTGACGTAGTGTTTGCTGCTGCAACGCCCGAGGAAAATGCTACTGATATTCAACAGTGTATACCAGTTGAACAGCAGCAACATCAAAGCCAGCAACAGCAGAAGTCACCTCAAAGTCAGTGTCTGCATCAGTCCGATGTGGATGTTGCTCCGGTGAGCAGCAATACAGTCACAGGCGATAAAGAAATTGTCGACGTGGATATGGAAGAAGACGTGCCGGACGCGGAGCCTGCTGAAGGAAACAACCAGATGGATGAAGTGCGTGATGAGGTTAATGAGAAAGAAAAGAGTGAAGTAAAACTTGAAGGACAAGAACGAATAGAGGAAACTGATAGAGACGATTCTAGTGAAATTAAAACAAGTTTAACTCCTCTCATTCCAGCCGACAAGTTGAAGAAAGAGAAGTCGCAGCTGGAAAGGACTGAAGGTGAGGAGGATTCCGCCGCGGCTTCAACGACGGTAGGTGAAGATGAGCAGAAGGCAACGAGAGCTCCGAGTTCGGCTGGAAGCCACAACAGCGACGAGTCTCTGGACTCATCGCATGCTCTACGGCAGTTGGAGAGTCTGTCACACGGCCACTTCGGCGACTTGATGCGGGGTGGCGGTCTCAACTTGGGGCAATCCGCCTCGCCTCTCCTGCACTCCCAACACCAGTTCCCTTCCTTGGGCTTCATGATGGGAACAGGTCCTCCAAGTCCCGAAGGTTCTTCCATCACGTCTAATGGCCCCGATTCACCTTCAGAAGACAACAGCCAGAACATGTTTTTCCATGATTCTGGTGGTTTTATTGGAAACTTGGATGTACCCATTGATAAAGATAACCCACGCCGTTGTACCGCTTGTGGTAAAATATTTCAAAACCATTTTGGAGTGAAGACACATTTTCAAAATGTTCATCTGAAACTCATGCATAAATGCACAGTCGAAGGTTGTAACGCTGCGTTTCCGTCGAAGCGGAGTCGTGACCGTCACAGCGCTAACCTTAATTTGCACCGTAAGCTTCTGTCCACTTCATCATCAGACAAATCTGGTGGAGGACTGTTCCTAGACAAATCTCCATTTTCATCCTTGGCAGGCAGCCCTTCTTTACACAGTGAGTTCCTTGCCCGCTTATATGCAGAATCTCAAACCCTTCCCATGAGCCTTGAAGCTTTCAAGAATCTTCCCCATTCTCATCCTCACCTTGGACCTCCCCCAACACCGGGAAGCTTAGCAGAACAGATGCTCATAAACGGTGAACGAATACCACCCCCACATCCATCGCTTTTATTGCCTCCTTTGGGCAGTCTTGCCAGTTTTCCTGGTCTGAACAACTTTACCAGTCATCTGTCATCTCCGGCTGCTGTACTATCTGCAAGCGTGAATGGAACAACTTCTTTAAGTGAAAGGAAAGGTCGATCATCAGGATCGAACTCCCCAAGTTCTCCGTCTTCGCCTCCAGCAGATCGCGTGGTCATTTCGCCGAATTCGGTGCCAGGCAGTGCACAGTTGTCACTCGTGTACAGTGTCGAGGAGGACATGCCAATGCCGGATCACGAAGGATTCCTACCCTGCACCTTTTGTCGGAAGTCGCTGGCCGACACTGCAGCGCTCAAAGAGCATTATGAACAGCTTCACTTGGGAGAGATGTATCGCTGCACTGTGCCGGGCTGTGACAAAGTGTTTAGCTCCCGGAGCAAACGGAACCTACACAGCGATAACGAAGCATTACACAAAGCGACCCAACAGCGCACATTAGCGAACGATAACTGCTCGTGACACAGCGGGGCGTTCCTCCACCGCTATAACTCCCTGGTGCCAGCGTGGTGGTAGGCAAACTATTTTGTAGACTGAAGCGTTTTAATTTAAATCTATGTATTAATATTTAGGCAGAAGACCACCAACCAGTATGTTAAAACTGATCGATCAATGTAGCAAGTGAAACGTTTGATCACCTTAAATGTGATAATACGCCATGCATCTAAGATAAAAATGTTCACTTTCCCTATCCGTTTCGGTGTAAGGAACTACTTAAAAGTATTGTGCTAAAAAGCAGAACATTTACAATAAACAGATTCTTCTTGCAAAATATCTTAAATAGGAAAAAGGGCAATTAAACAGGAGTGGAAGACATTGTCTTCTATTCTAACACTCAGCTAGAATGAATTTTTAATGTATGTATGAAATAAAGCTGTTTTGGTTAAATCTTAGAATTCCTCTTTGTGTACGAAATCAGGTGTTACATGCAGTAAGGTAAATTTCAGAGCTTCTTAGAACCAAATTCCAAGATATAATTCAGTAGCTGGTAGCTGGTGACGGTTGGTAGGCGAACGTAATGTTATCACAAATTTGTGAAATAGAAGCAAAGTGAAACACGGGACTGTGCAACCAAAATGTGTCACACTGCCACTGAAAGAATACACATCCCTTATGTAAGAGAATGCCATAATTGACGGGAATTGGTTCACTGTAAAAATTAATATATGACAGCTGTGATTGACTGCCTGTATAATGTATTAACAATTTACCATACTCACAAACTTGCGCATTATCCGAGATGTATGATAATAAAATACCAAGTGCAATAAGTCATATGTGAGGGAACTGCATCATTGTAGAGGAATGTCATGATGTTTATAGTGACATGAACTCTGGTGCGTGCCTACATTTTCCTGTTGTGTGCATAAGACAAACTCTGTACCGAGTTGATTATTGTTATCTTGAAGAAGTACAGTGCTGGTAAACTGGAAACACTTTATAAACACTCTCAATGACGAAACCTATAGACAAATTTAATCTTTTATATGTGTATAGGTGTACAGATAGGCCACAATTTCGAATTGGGAAAATGCTGATGAATGTTTTCCACGCACTAAAATGTTTGTGTAATATTGATGAGATGGATGTCTATCTTATTGCTTTGTATACGACTAGTTATACTGAAGGAAATATCTGATTTTTTGCCTCTAAGAGTAAATAAAATTAGTCTAATGATGTAAAGTTCTGTACCACTCCAGTAAAAATACCTTGTCATTAAAAAGATGACTACTGTTCAAGTTCAAACTATGCTCACGCACGTAAATTTTAATTTGAAAATGACGTCAACCACAAAAGTACTGAACAATGATTTTATTTTATTAGTACATCGTAGTGTGTATTGATGAACTACTCGGTCCACAGCCGCAGATACAGATTATGCAGTGTGTTACTTCAATGTGAATGAATATAAAACCTCGCTTTTAATTATTTTGTATTTATTCCCCACTATGTAGTTAAGTTTTCAAAAACAGGGTTTACATATTTCACCAGTTGTGAGGGGATAACACGTCACATAGAATATTTTCACACAACAAGAAGGCAAAAGCCAGTGCAATATGAAACTCTGTTTCAAACAAAATATTCCTGATGCCTAAATGCTTTCAACAACACGACTGACCCTTCCTGTTTCGGAGCCACTGAAACCTCTAAGACAGTTAACCTAAAATTATTTTCAATACGGTTACTGTTTCCATAAGATTAACGTGGGCCTACAACATTATTCTTGTCTGTACTCTTCAATTCATATCCGGAAAATGTCGTTAGTAACACAAATTGTGGTTATCACAAACCGAGGAGTTACATGGTCTAGATTCAGAATCAATAAACTTAAGAAACCTTGCCCCTTAAATTGATCACTTCCCTTCCCTATTGATACAAGTTTGAACATCTTTCTACAAAACCATCTGATAAAAAGTGTTTTTATACTTTAACTTTCCGAAAACAACAAACATTCACTCACAATACTTTTCTTACGTATTTTATTTCACTTGAAAATCATCAAATTGGTATAGAGTTTCAAGTATTTTACATTATACGTCCTGCCAAATGCAATAGCACAATATGGTCTGCAAACACCGTGTTCTTTAGCAGGCTTATACAGAATTCAATGAGTCAGGCAGTGTTCTTAAAAATATAATTTGTTAATATTTAAACGTTAAACACAGTTGACTAGTGGCAAACCTGCGAGAGATTTTGTTTATTTTAAGCAAAGTAATACATGTCATATTTTCTTCCCAAAATTTCCTTTCCGGTCAAATTCAAAATTAATTTTCCTGTTTTGCGCACTGTTATTAATTCATAAGTGTTGTCATTTTGTTAAAGGTATATGTGTATTTAACTGCAATAGGATTGTAATGAACTGCAGCTGTAGGATGAGCCAAGAGGCAATATCAGACACATGTTCCTCACACAGTTCTATTATTGTACAGAATATCGACTTCGAATTTATGCGTGTATGACTGAAAGAAAAAAAAATATTACAAATGTCACTGTACATAAAATTACTATACCGGTGAAATAAATATCGTATTTGTATAAGAAATCCGTGGAGTTTAAGATACCGTAATAATAGATACGCGAGTCCCTTACAGCGTTCCTTTCCGCCCTTCCAAATCAAAACAACTTCAGTACTAAGTGGATAATAATTGTCATTAGGCTTATGGCAGGTGAAGGAAGGCGAAATTTTGAAGCTAAATGTATATAATCCTGGTCTTTGTTATAACTGTGCCGTATGTTTGTGAAGCCGCGTATCCATCCCCCCACCTCCCTCAATATACTATCTATGGCACTTAGCTCCTACTCCAAGTTATTATTGTTATAATGATAATATTATTATATACTACATGAACTGTGCTGTGACACGTAAGTTAAATGTCATCATTGTAAATAAAGAACAAAAATCATTATCTCTGAAAAACGTGTTTATTCATTTGTAACCTTTCAAAAACCTTTACTGTAAATTTCCTAACCAGCCATCAGTATGGAACAGAGTCCTTGAGAAGCTAATAGTCTCTTATCTAGTCTTTTTATTGAACCCGGAAACACATTACAGTATTCACAAGAGCTCGTAACCGATCCATATCCGGAGTCAGATGAATCCAGTCTACAACCTCACACCCCATTTACTAAACACTTAGATTTTTCCTTAATGTGGAGACGAAGTTGCATGCCTGTACGCTCTGCAAAGCAGGCAAAATTAGTTCTCTATATCATACTGTACGAGACAGCAAGGCAAAGCCGAAATTTGCCTGATATAAGCTGGGCGTAATGGTGATGGCAGATGAACAGATATACCTTCCTGCTTTTGCTTCTAAACCAACACTGTAATAGATCCTGTGTTTTGCTTTATGACACTTCTACCATCGGTGGTACGCGTACCATAGGTTGAGAAACGCTGGTCTAGAGCACCTGTCAAACGCAGAATATCTGGTTAGTAGTTGATCTATCGCATCGATAACCACACTGGCATTCCTAAATAATTTCTTTTTCGCATGGAGTAAATCATAAGAGTGCAAAAAGCTTTATCCAACATTACGTATACTCCAAACCACGTATCCTGTACGTTCATGTTGTCACCAGACTGCGCTAAAAAATTAGAATTCAAATAATCAATTATAATTAATTTATAATTTAAAATGTATCATAAGAAAGGAGGAAAACAGGGTGGAAGTGTGTTGACTAAATTCATGTGGCTAAGGATAAGGACCAATGGAGGACTTATGTGAAATCATAAACATTCGCATTCCATAAAGAGCGGGAAATTTCTCAACTAGCTGAGGGACTATTAACCTCCAAAGATGGACTCTGCTCTACTGTTAACATTTGTTCTTAACTTGTTTTTCTCAGACTCTCTGGGCAACTGCCAGGAAGATCTGCATACCTTAAACCACCGTTATTACTCTCTAGATTTATTTTATAATTATAGGCTTACCAGTATTAGTGCTCTTCTGCTAAAATAACGTTAAATTATCTTCGGAATGTCATAAACGGTGCAGTGAAAAGGTGATTAATTTACTTCCAGTTATAAAGGCAACTATTGTTTAGGTATAAAAACATTCTTAACTTTTATAAACAGCGGAGAATCTCTTGTGTAAGTTATCGACCTGGGAACTATGTAACGATGCTGCATCTAGTGTGAAGTTAATTTGGTTTCAAATCAGGTAAAATAACAAATACAAACAGTTACTTTTTGAAGGGTTTCAAATACAAAAGCTTCACTTACTATGGTCGGCATACTCTGTCATTTCTGATAAAATAAGACCAAAATATCCCAGAATAGCATCTGCATTGGCAGAGACTTTAATCTTCTACCTCCATAAGATATTACAGATAAGAATAGAAACCACTAAGCTGGCATGCTCAATAGACCTCACTTTCAGTCACTATTACAGAAATTGCTTGTACTGTTTTGTGTAGGGCTTAATTAATTTTACGCAGAAAACTGTTTGGTGATAAGGATTCAGAATACTCATTTTTTGGTCTTGCAAACCGTATAAAACTTGTAACATTTTTCCACGAAGCCTTGGTGTAATACAACCTGACACCAAAACAGAATATTACGCATACGAGGAGTGAAGAAAAAACGGAAATCCTAATCACACTTCCCTTTTTAATGTTTGACATCTTGTCTGTGGATGTGTGTGTCTATTTCACTAAGATTTTCAGTCAATGTGTGATATATAAAATTGTGCAAAATGTGTGTTCTTCATACACTAACTGGGAACTGAACTCAGGATATAAAAACAAGGCCTGTGAGTTTTGAATGAAACTGAAAATAAATGGCGATAGTAATTTTCTTTACACAGAATGGACCAATTGATCTTCAAATTATTGTTCTTAATTAACTAAGATCACATGGGCGACGAGTATGACAATTTCTGTATTCTGGCCTTTAGCGCCATGTAGGCTGGCAGAAGTTTACCGTCGACCTGATGATACAGAGAGCAAGGACCTCTGAAACGTCGGCAAACTTCTACCAGATTACACCGAGCAACAACACAGAAAACAGCCAGCTTCGACATGCAGCTGTGTTCAACGAAGCACTCTAGGTCCAACAGCGCTACATTTTGCACATTTGATGTTTCTGACCTCTTCAAAAGCTTAGAGTAGTTCAGCTAGCAGAGAAATAAATTAGCTGTGTTTTGTGGAAACCGAAGTCTCATTATCGTTCACAAGACCCTGTGTCTGGACTCTTTCCGAATCATTTAAATCCAGTGCGCTCAATTAATACGCTTGATTTAAAATCCATTTTAATATCATCCTCACTTCCATGACTAGAAGCGTCAGATGGCATATCTTTTTAAGGATTTTCAACTAAAATTTTGTATGCACTTCTCATCAATTCCATGCGTGACAGCTATATGCTCCGCCCATCTCATCTTTCTTGATTTGATCATTTTATTAATGCCAATATTTTAGGCACAAACTACGAACAACCTTACCCTTCAGTTTTATCTTTGTTAATTTACCTATAACAGGTTAAGAAAGCCTACTTTGCTTTACAATTCGTTTCATATAGTTGCAGAATGTATTCATTCCTCTAAGTGTGGAACCTGCTAATCGATGACTGATTCAATTCTAATCAACATTCAAAATTGTAATGCGACTAATATAGGCCCCTTTAATCAAAGTTTAATAAAAGTTTAAAAAATTTATAAATTTCATTTTTTTTCGATGCAGCGTCACTATCCAACGTCAGATTAAAAACTTTTTAATTCTTACATTAAGCAGGCCACTATGTAGGCCTGCTGTTTTATTAGTGTAATTATTACGTTACAAGCCAAGAGTAATTTTACACAGACTCGTTTCAGGACTCATTATGCCAGCTCTCATTTTTATAAATTTCACTCGCTCATATCCCCCGCCATTGTTTCTTGAGCTTCGCCCCCCTCTTACCGATCCCCCTGCCCATCCGTGACCCCGTGTAGATTATAACACGCATTGCGGGCTTCACAGATTGCTGAGTGTACTGTTGAGGAGACCGACTCCGCCTCCTCCCGCCAGATGTCACGCTCTGCAGTGACCGCCAGCTTTTATCACACGTTCCATCACACCTGCAGCGCTTTGTTAAACCAGTGGGGCGGAGCTCCTGAGGACTCCACCCCTTTTATTACACTTACATCATGCACATACCTACCAGACTAAGTACAACCACGGCTAAGATATACATTTAAAATCTTGCATAAATAACACGTTGATTTGAAATCATAACATGAATTTATAATGGTTCATGAAATCGAAACATATGTTCAGAAAATACCTGTCAGTCCACGATACAAGTTGAACAAGGAATGAGAAACACATGCACTGAATCACGTGTTTTCGTCCCGTTATGGTAACAATAATAAAAACGCAGATGTAAACACTCCGATTTCTCAACCCGATCGACTATCTACTTTCCTTGAGGCGACATGGTATTTCATATCAGTCGAGGTTCATCTGGTCACCTGATATTGTTAACAACTGTGCGAAATGAGCCACATTTATGACATCTGAGGTTTTACAGGAAAGATCTTACGTCGTAGAATTCATCAACCTTTCACAGCACGCACCTCTAAAACGTCCGACTACATGGCGCAACAAGGCAAAAGAGAGTCATCTTCATGATTATCTTGGTATTGTGTGTTACAACATTTTGTGGATTCGCTGGTAGATACCAACATTTCAGAGTGACATAGTGTCTCCATCTTCAAGACTTGACCTCAAATCTCATATTCTGTAGCATCAATTATGTTATCCAGTCAGGTTTTCTGCTTTTATAGCTGTGTATGTCTAATTGAGACACGTGGACCAGTTCTGTCGCTCTTGGCTGTTTATTCCTCGCTGTAAGCGCTGCCAGCGGAGAAACATCGTAGAGAAGTTGAATAGCAGTGAGAAATACCTTGCTTCTCAGTTCTGTTTCGAGTATATTTGTTTTTCCGTTTTATGTTGAATTTTAAACTCAACAGTAAACTGTTTAAATAAGTGTGACGGAACTACTTCCTTCGTCTGAGCTATGAAGTTACGAATGAACCTCAAAAACCGATGCCGATAGGTTAATCCATAGAAGAGACAGAGCTTCTTGGTTTCTTTTCCAGAAATGTTCGGAGATTGAATCTCTTTGTATTGTTAATACTTACGGACTATATAATCAAGAACCACGACGGAGTGTTATTAAAAGATGATTACAAAACATTAAATTCGCGTCTGCATAATGATCACGACATAACAGAGTAAGTTCTGTCCATATAAGCGCCAAGATGTGCGACATTAAAGTAGTATTTCTAATTCACCTGTGAAAAGTTGGACTTCTATCAGACTACAACGAGCTACAATCCGGAAGAAACCCATCTTTAAAAAAATAGATTTTAAAATGTATGTATATTTGCAACACATCTCATCTTCTTGTCATGTACTAGGAAATGTGGAATCGTATTACATATGGCTTCGAAGTCCAATGGGAATTGTCTTTCTTATACATTTTTGCAGTCAGTAAAGTTTACACGTAAGTAAGTTTTAGCCTCTTCATCAAGGTTGTTAAAAATGTCCCAATCATATGATCAGAATCATTAACTCTTTAGCACAGAACTGCTTCATCAATGCAATGTGTAGAACAAATTAGACTCTTTCCAGACACGTCCTGATTATTGAGGCAGTACAATACTATTCCCAGTACTGTATGGAATTTTAGAGTAAGAAGTAATTTTATCTTCAATTAGATGTAACACACAGAGGACTTCCGACGTAACTCTAATTTTCGCTGATTTCAACACGATGTGTTCACTGCAATAAAAATAATATTCTTATCGTAACCCAAGCCATTTTCACTGCCATATATTACAGAAGTCACAAATTTCGTTCCCGTTCCTTATCGTGTGCCACAAGTCTTTTATAGTCGTCGTGACTAGTATTTCAGCCTCATGATAGCCTAGCCACATCTTTTCGTTGAATAAACACGAACAGTAGTTGCTATTAGTAAACACGAAAGTACAGTGAAGCTGCGTGTTTTCAGTGGAACGGAATCGGCGACTGCGTGTGAACCGGGCCTTATTACGACCATCGAACCACCGCACTAACGTGGAATATAACACTGCCTATGAAGGCAATGCAGTATCGTGCACTTACGTGTCTTACAATTCAATTTCCGGTTCTCGGTGTGTGCCTTTGGTGGCTCGCTGGCCCACAACCAATGAGACGACTCCGAAAGGTCTTTGCATGCAACAAACCTTGCAACGAAAACTGTATCTACAGATTTTGATGCCGCTGTTTAATTGGACCAATCAGTCATATGACAACACGTATGGTTTCTATGAGAGCAGAAGTGAACCAAGATTGTGTTTATGTTTATGGAATCCTGGAATCACGGAAGGCTACATAATACTGGCCTATGCATATCAATGTTATGTTTCAACCGCTTAATTATCTAGGTAGCAAACGCTCATAATACCTACGGATTACAAAATACTGCAGTCACAATTTAAAGGCAGCCAGAATACCTTTTATTAACTTTTCTCTGAAATGAACGAAGGACAAAGTAGAAGAATAAAAGCAAGGAAGGAAGGACAACATAAAGAAAGCGATTTATCGCCCTGATGACGGAGGCAGTATTACCTCTGAAACGTTCGTAAACATCGACCATACTATACAGCGCAACAACCCAGAAGACAGAAATCTTCATACTCATCGCCCTGATGACGGAGGCAGTATGACCTCTGAAACGTTGGTAAACATCGACCAGACTACACAGCGCAACAACCCAGAAGACAGAAATCTTCGACTGAGGATGTCTGAGAGGAAAGAAAGTAACTTGTGTTGTTCAGTTGGTCAATCAAGGAGGATAAGATGACTCGTAATTTTAATTTATAACATTAGCAGAAGAAAACATTTAAAGAAAAATAAGTTCGCTGGTTCCAGAAATTCTTATTATCTACTCAAACATAAAAGAACCATAAACGTGAAATATTTCCATATTTGCATGAGAGACTGCAGAAGTTCTTAGTTGTGTTAGAGCGCGATGAAAATAAAAAGCAAAATATACTGAGAAGAATAATTAGTTTGGCTTTAAGAACGTAGCTGTAATTGATACGTGTTCACTCGACGTATAGTCAGTCTTGGTTTGGAATTTAGGATTTTAACACAAGAAATGTCACGCGTCTTAGCAGCACAAACTACAATCAAACAACACCAAATTATATGCCTATTGCTTTGATTTGTAGTTTTTCAGACGACGTCAGTGAACACTCGGGTTCCTTAGTAGGTAATTATTTAAGCTGCATAACATTTGTTCGGGAAGAATCCTTTTCCAGGATATTAGTTTGGATTTATGAAACTTAACTATATTTTCAATAGGCCTTAATTCATTACTTAAATACGCATTTATGACACAGAATAGAAAGCGATTACAATTGATTTATACCCCGAGTGACTATGTGTAGTGCATTACACTCCACTTACTAACTGTTATGAAATTGCAGGTTTTAGACTCCAACTCCACGTTATGTTCACCGATAATATAACTTTTCTGAACTCCTTAACAATAAAACTATATCGTCACGAAAACAGTCAACTTAATTACTTAGTTCTAGTCGCCATAACGTTTCAAGTTTTCATTAACGTGCTCCATTCACAAGTCTCACTGCACATAGACCTACGTCATGGCCTCTTGATTCTACATCATTCTAACTTCTAACCCCTGACCCATTAATAGATAGTTGCTGCTGTAACAGGCAAATCAGCGTCATTCACGAAGTTCTGGTTTTAGTTTAGATTGGTAAAAGCAAAACATTCCTCTTCAGACAGTTCCGTGCAAAATAAACTGAGGAAAACCGAAGTTGGCCTTTCTTGAATGTCCCTGTTGCAGAAAGGGACTCGCATTCTCAACAGCGGTGGTAACAACCGTGCCCAATGGTGATGGACAGAGAGACAGACCTCTTGAAGGACGCTAGTTGCCCGAAGAGAGACAAGTCAAGACAGACACGCAGATCGACAGATGTTTAATGCGCGGTTTATGGTATGATGATAGCGCCTTCAGCTACACCAACAGTAATCGTGAACATGCGCGTGTTAGGAATTTTCATCCGACTCTGTGAGATATGGAGAGGCAAGGCTAAGATATTTTTGGTTAATCAATTGTCCTTCGTTCAGCTACGTCGAAAATTGTCTTTACAAATTACAATTTACATAATAATATTTGTTTTTGTAAAAAGTGATTTCAAAACCTACATTAGGCATAGTTCACTTCTATAAACCCAAGTACAGTGGTACTGCAACGGTAAAGCTCTAGGCGCAGACTTGTATTCGGGAGGTCCCCAATTTATATTAATCATGATTTTCCTCTGTCCCTCCAACAAACGTCGCAACATAAACTTGAAATAAACCAAATCCTCAGGCATGATTAATGACAACCTTCTAATCTGCTCCTACGCTATATAACTAGAATAACAGTAGGCATATTAAATTTCCACATTTGTTTGAAGATCGCTGTGTTGATAGTAGTAGTAAACAGTTCTGAAATGTCTGTCAGTGTCTACAAGAGTACACGGCCCAACATTCCGGAAGGCAGGCTTTTTAACAGTCGCCTCCGTAAGAACCTGAAATCTCACAACTGTAAAGAGGTCACGAAAACACAAGACCCATGAAACTTGACTGCAGGCTTGAACACCAGACCTCCCAGGTACAAAGTTTTACTCTAAGTGAGCATGAGACCACACTACATGTTGCCATTTTTAGGTCTATAAACCATCTCAGTCTGAGGTATAGTACATTAAGCGGGACTAGAAGTAACAGATGCCTGCGTAATTACTATTTCGAGACCTTTTCTTTAATTATTCTGAAACGAGGAGCTACAGACTGGGTCTTTCCAGCAATGTGTGGTTTCAACCTATATTTTTTCCTTCTCGAAACAGCAAAACAAAACACAGATTAGAGAAAAAACGACTATATACATATTTCTTAACTATACACAACGATGTAGTTAATTTTCAAACGCATCGCTAGGTCTTATACACGTAGTAAATACACCAGCCAAATAATTCTATAGTTAATTTTCTTGAAGAAGCAAAAATCACTTTTTATTTCAGTATTTCTAGTTTTCTTTCTTGTACTCAACAAGCGTAACCAGCGATTATGTGGAACGCCCACCTATTCAGTATTCTCATCACACAGCACGAGAACAGGCAAATGATCCAGATGCCGGTACATTTGCTATAGAACTAGCCTTGTCATCAGTGGCGTATCATATTTATTTGTGATTTATTTAACCGCGCTCAGACAATCAAACGTCCAATGAGAGAATAATTAATTGATTAACATCGGCTTTTAAAAAATATGGATAGAAGCGTTGTGGAACAGTTAAAAGAAAAATCCTAGAATTTTTATGGTTGGACTGATAAAGAGTAAAAGAATCCTCAAGATAACTACGTAGTATCAGAGAAGAGATTTGAAGCCTGGACCTCCCGAATACGAAGCGCGAGGCGAAACCATTCGACTGCGAGGTTCGGTTTTTTATCGTCAAACAAAATAATTTTCAGAACATTTTACATATTTTAAGTAAATAATTTTAAAAAGTAATTTTACTCACCCAATGAAAATGTCTCTGCATGTGCAGACCTGTAAATGGGAAAAAGACACATTAAAATTAAATTATAATTTTATAAATTACATACCTAATTGATATTTTTACTAAATTCCGACGTAATATTATTCCACGTCTTTTAATTATCTTATTAGCCTTGTAAGATATGATTTATTTTAAAACTGGATAGCACAAGATTACAAATTTCTAAAATATATTTTTTAAATAAACAAACTAACACAATGTTATAAGAATCCTAAGGTTTAACACCTGTAATACCAGAGCCCACCTTTTGACAAAATTCTAACTCCAGTTGTGCATCCATTCTCAGACTCCAAAGTGAAGATTTTCCAATAAATAATTCGAACCAAAATTTTGAATATATTTATTGTCTCCCCTGTATTAGGCAAATGTTCAGCACATAGCAGCCTTCTGAATTTCATCATCACGACAAACTGTATAAATCATCATACGCGAAAGTGAAGGATAGAACTTTTATGTAATAAATGGCTGAGAGTAATTGAAAAATATATCTTATAAGAAAACAGTGAAGTGTAGTTATAATAATTTAAGTGAATTAAAGCCTAAAATAAATCTTTTGGAATGCACATATTTGAAACCAAATAAATAGAGGAGAATAAAGCTGGTAAGATATTAACCATAAGCAGGGTTATGATGAACTAAAAATGCAAATATAAGTCTAGTACAGAAAGCAGTATCGTTAGTAAACACACTTGAACAAGAAGCCTGTACTATAAAAACTTTTGCGTCACGTGGACACGCCTATGTAAAAGAAAATACAGTTCAGTACACATTACTGTCAGTTTCAAATATTTTATTTTAATTATTTTACTTCCGGGTCTATTTCTTTACAGATGTGTGGGAGAATTTTTGTGTTATGTATTTTTGTACGTAAGCATGCGCGCATGCATCCGTCTCTGAGGAAACCTTGAGGGGGGGGGGGGGGGGGGG